AAAGACCTACGTTATGGATCACAATGAAGAGTTTTGAAATATAATGCAATTAAAATGTACGCAATGAATATAATACATACAGTAAGTCAATACGTTACAGATACAATTCAATATTCAATAAATATTACTGAATGAATGAACGTCCTACAAAGTTTCTTATGGAAATTCATATTTTGATGAAATTAAGAAAACTGTAAGAAGTATCAGTGAGAAAAAATGTTTAAACTATGATACACCCTATATTATAAGCTACGCTCCAATTTAAAAAATGCTCAAAACAAAGGGAAATCGGTTTTATAATGGATGGACTACAGTACATATTAGTAATGACCACTAGATGTCGCTCTAATCTGCTGCTTCAGGTTCCAAAGGCAACCTGAAAACCGTTTTTCTCCAAGTACTTAAAATTGTAATAGTTCGGCTCTTTTAAAGACAAAAGACTTAAAAATCTCACATTTGTGGGGGGGAGTTGCTGCTCATTTTTTCCTTTGTATTAAGACCTACCGAAGTATCTCACAAGGTGTAAAATTACTTAAAATGTGAATTGAAAAGTTTGAATGACTTAACTTGATATGAAAAGTGCAATTGCTTCCCTTTAATCCACAACCCTAGATTTCACATTTCTCCTGTTTGTAGTGGGTTATAGAGAAGACACGATAATAGCAAGGCTGATGTTTGACTTAAATCAAGTAAAAAGTAAAATCTGAAGGAAAGAAAATGATGTCTTCTAATTTGAAGTCAGGAGATTATGGCACCCTAAACACATGATTACTGCTTGCCATGATGAGAAAGGCCAGGTGAGAAGGGGGAAACGGGGTCGATGGGACTAGGCCCCGAGCTTAACCCATGCCCGGTGTTAATCCTGGGAATTGACCCAAGGCCTCTGTGTTTGAAAACCTGGATGATTTCTCCTATTGGGTGAAGATCACTCTCCCAGTAAAAAAAATAAAGGTTTGGGGTCAAAAGGAAGTTCGCAGAAGCTTCTAGAGAAGTGCATAGAGCAGTACTCAAACTGTTCCAGATCACCAATGAGATGAGAACAGAAACTGAGATTAAGCATTTCAAAACAGTTTCGTAGCAAAATAACGAAGTCATTTTATGTCTGTGAAATGTAAGAAGAAGAAATTGAACTTGCATTTTGTATGTATTTTTTAATTTCATTTTTCTAGTAATTCAGTATTTCTAGTCTTTTACAAAAGTACTAGTTCATAACAAATTGGAAAATTTTAAAAAGTAGTCTTTCATCCCAAGTAGCTTGGAAAGTACAGCTGCGGAGGTGGGAACCCTAGGACAATGACCCAATTAAACCCCTTAATAATTTTCTAATGGACAACATAGGCCAAAAAGGGCTGAAGAACAGGGGCACCTTGACTGTGAAACACAGGGTGACTGGAAAGGTGAAAGGAAATCCTAAGAACAGCACATCTCAGGGAGTCCCAGCCTCTGAGCCCACAGTTTGCAGCTCACCCCAGGACCCCACCAGCTCTGCAAGGCTCAGAGACCCCTCACCAGCACCCCTAAGCTGCTCCCCTTCCACAATGCACACACACAACAAATCGGCCTTGGGCCAAGTGGAATTCAGGTGGCCACAGTGAAAAGAAAATGCAAAAACCACTCGGAATTGCTCATATCTTATATATGCAGTTTCATAAGAGAAATGCAGAGAGAAGGGCATACATAGACTTCTGCCTGGCTTGACCCAGCCTAAATCAGCTGGCTTTGATGGAAATGAGTCTTAAAGCACGGTGGTTTTCCATGTACGGATAGCCAAGTTGGCAATTTTACTTCTCTAAAAAAAAAATTCCTTGTTGTACTATCATACAGTTGGTGTCATTTTTTGGAAAGTGAATTGGGAATAACTATCAAAATGTCAATTGTGAATACTCTTTAGCCCAGCAGTTTGCCTGCTAGAAATTCATACTACAGATATCCTCTTAGAGCAAGCAGAGGCACACGTAATACAATATCCAACACTCATTGGCTCTTTCTTCGAGGGATAAAACTAGATGAAACCAAGATGGCCTTCAATGAGACTAGTTAGCTGATGGCACCCCACACAGGAGGAGAGAATGCACCATTAAAAGGTTCAGTGCTCCTATAGGTAGTCATGCAGAAAGAGCTCCAAGACACAATTTTAAGAAGCCAGTTGAGTGCAATGGGTACAGTGTGATCATATTTGTGCAAAACAAGAAGTATATGCATTTTGATCATGCAGAGAGCCTTTCTGAAGGCTGTATAAAAATCTGTTCACCGTGGTTATCTCTGGGAAGTGAAGTTAAGGATCAAGATGAAGGAGAAAGACTTTTGTATCTGACATCACATGCTTCTGTTTCCTTTTTTAAGTAAAAAGATGTATTAATATAACATGGAACAAGGTACCTATTGCAGAGAATAGAATCAAGAGCTATAAGAAATGGCAGCACGTATCAGTCAGCCAAAAGTTACAACATGAGACAAAGGGCTGCATAAAAATTCAGTCATGCTGTAAAGGTCAAGAGACATTGACAAAGGGAAAAACACAGCTCACAGATTGCCATCACCAGTGGCTAGTGAGTATTTTTAGTAACAGGCAACGATCAGCCTCTGGGAACCCTATAAACCCCAGTGGAAGGTGTGGCAGGAGATCTGAGGCTTCCAGGGATCATAGCCATCACCAGGTAAAAGAGTCCAGAGACAACTGCCTCAGTATGTAATTACTCTGTGGACACAGAATGGGCAGAAAGGAGGTTGGGGTTGGTTAGTTGAATTAAAAAAAATGGTTATCTGGCCCTGTGTCCAAATAGAGGGAGTGTCTTGGCCACCCGAAGCTCTGTTAACTTCTACAAATGAGGCACACACATTTCCTGTTTAATTCTATCCTGCACAGGGCCAATTCATTGTGATACCGTTGGTCTCGGAAATAATTTTCTTAGACGTTATATGTAATCACTCTATTTATATATGTATATAATCCCAACCAGTGGGAGCTGGGGAGAGAGGCTCCCTGCCCACTTGGGGCCTTCAGCACAACACACTCTCTACTACAAGTCTTCTCAGGGCTGTCGAGGCTGAGTGCTGCAAAACACACTGCTTGCTCTGCTTTGGGTTTTCTTTCTGCCATTTATCCCATATTCTAGGGAACAGTTTTGACTTGTTGTTGCAGGTCAAATGTGTTTAAGTGGTCATTTTGGACTTGCCTCAGACAGACAAAGGAAGAATATTATGCTGGATGTCAAAATGCCAGTTTCCAGGAAGCAGGGGCTGCTTTCACAGAAATGGTACAGGAGGCTGGAGGTGAAGTTCAGGGAGCCATAGGGTATGGGTGCAAGTGCTTTGCAATTGTAAGGAGCATCACAAGCAGAACTGCACAGCTGGGAGAGAGGACGGAGGGCCCCTGAAGGAAGGTCAAGGTAGAAGCCAGAATCAAGCTTATGAAGCCCTGAAGAGCCAGCTTTCCCAACTCCTACACACTTTCTGCGCCATGCCTACCTGATACTATGTGTGGGGTGGTGGTGGGGGGACGGGACTGGCTGAGCCAGGAGTGGTGGGCATGGGCAGCCGGGCACGAGGGACAACCCCCTCCCCCAGGATCATCACTGCTCAGGCCTCCTCCTGCACTTGGAGTGAGGCTACACGTCCTATTCACCAGGGCAAGCCAGCTCAATGTCTGCACCAGCCCCCAAAACACCAGCAAGACAGAGACAACAATCTTTTGCAGAACTGCCCTGGGGGTTGGGGGCTGGGGGATGGGGTAGCTGGGGACAGGGAAGGTACTCGAATAGGGCCTGGAGGGAGGGGTGCCGAGGCCTGAGTGAGGACAGCGCCCTCTGACACAGGCCAGGTGCCCCGAATTGCCAGGCTTTTGTTTTGCTGAGAGGGGCCTGCGGATTGGAGGCCAGAAATGAAGTCTCTGAGCGGAGGGGAGAGGCTGAAGCTGCCCCCAAGGGCCCTTCTTCCTGCTGGGCCCTTCCTTTGTTTATTCAGAGCACTCAGCCATTCCTCTGAGTAAATACTGAACAAATATTTTTAAAACCACCGTTTAAACAGTGTGGAATTATTAGCCTGTCTCCACCCGGGGCCGGGAACTGCTGCTGAGCTCGCTGCAGTGCACAAGGCCTGTGGGCGGGGACTGCGGAGCTGGCGGCGGGCACTTCCGGCGGCGCCATCTTGCGAGGAGGCGGTGCTCCCACCTCCCGGAAGCTGCATGGACCAGAACCTGAGCTCTGACCGGAAGTCACTTGCGCAGCGCCCCGGACCTCCTTGTTTTGGGCTAAGTTAGGAGAAGCTTTGATGTGTGGGCGTGGAGCTTTCCAAGGGGAAGTAGGAGTCGGCATGAGATGGAACTTTTTAGACCCAGGGAAGGGGAGACGTGGTGTGCTGGCTGTGGTGTTGTCTGAGCGTCTCCCGGGAAGACGAGAAATACACGGATAGGCGGAGGCAGTGCCTAGAGGATGGGCTGCCGCTACCACGTTGAAATCGTCTCTAACAACCTCAGGAGTCCAGAGGTGGTTCTCTCGGGAAAGCAGTAGTGGCTCCCTCAGAGGCACTGGTTTCAGAGCGACACCCTAGAAACCGAGTCTGTTTACTAGCCCCTGCCACGCTGCCAGGGGGAGAGATTCAGGGCCCTGCCTGAGACGTGCTTCCTCCCCTGGGGGCTCAGCAGAGACGTCCTCCCTTGGCTAGCGCCGGCGGCGGTGTGAACACCCAGAGCCCCATTAAATCCAGGGCTCAGTCGTGTTGTTGGCCTCCGGATCCTCAAATGCAGGGGGCACAGCTCCCGCTCAGCTCCCGCTCAGCTCCCCTGAGCACTGAGCTGCTCGGGGCACTCTCCCACCAGCCCAACTGGAAAAACCGGAAAAGCAAGGGTAGCTGCCCTTAGAGGCATCGTGGGTATTTTCTTTCCTTTTGGCCAGTTCAAGTTTAACTAGAAACTGGAATAATAATTATAATGATACATGTTTACAGGTTTTAACTAATTGATCCCTTGGAGTCCTCTTCTGAGGGGAAAGCTTTCTACCCACCTCATACATCAGGAAAACAAGAGGCCATATGGTTGCACTGGGCTGGGTGGTCACTGGTGTCAGTAAGAGAGTGGAGACGTCGGTGTCAACAGTTCTTGACTTCTTGGCTTGTGTCCAGATTGCTGGGTCTTGCAGCCCCTGGAAAGGGGAACACATGAGAAACTGACGTGGACCAGACCATTAACTACCAGGAGCAGTTGGCTCTACTTAGGGCCCTGCCTGTGCCTGTTTCTCTTGGAAAGACAAGCTTGGAGAGGAGGAAAACCCATTTCTTCAGGAGTGTTTTGCCCATCTTTAATTACCAGTTAAAACAAAAACATTCTATAGAGAAAACTCCACTTGAAAGAAAACTCCAAGTTGCTGTGAAGGTTTCATCTTTCCCTTTTGAATTCCAAGGTCTGTGGCCATATAATCCAATGTTGGCCTGAAAAAATATTTGTCTACAGAAACACCCACAGGAGTTGAGGGGGACATCGGTGCCAGGGCATGGAGGTGGAACCTGTAATGGTAGCTCCCAGCCAAGTCCCTAAAAATCAGGCTCTGACCTGTTTATTATGAACCCTCTTAACCCTTTGTAACAAATGTATCTGGATTTTTCTCCCAATTCTACCTTCCCCATCTGCCAGCAATAGCTTCCTCAACAAATTTGGGTGAGATGGCGAGTGTAGGTCTGGCCTGAAGGGCCATAAAGATCTTCAGTGATCATGACTATTTCAAGGTTGGGGAGGTGGTAGAGACACAGTGGGGGCAGGTTGGGAATCCTCCAACACTGACATATGAAGACACACACAGAGGCAGGCAAGTCAGCAAAGAAATGTAGGCTGGGTTCCCAGAGAAAATTGCTTGTGTTTTTTGTTGTTTTTTTTTTTTTAATAAGTGAGCAGAAGGGTCAAGCACAATTCTTTCAGAGTATAACAAGACAGATTCCCAGCCCTTTTTGGAAGAATACCCTTGCCATCTCAATAGATTCTCACTCTGAACCCATAATAGGCATTTACTTTAGTCTTGATCCCGTATTACCTGGTGGTGGTGTCCAATATTTCATATGTGGGTGCCTTATTTTCCCAAACACTTGGAGACTTCAATGGTAGGGTCCAGAGTTTTCATAATCAATACTAATTAAAATGATTGATCAAAAAGTTTCCCCTATGTGTTATCAGCTGAGGAACATAAACTAATTTCAGTTTCATTCCTATTGCTTGATTTCCTTTCATCGTTCCAAGTTTCCTGTTAAGGCCCAAACTTTGAGAGTCTTCCCCCAATGCAAATTGCACATCTGGGAGACATGTGTTTCATTTCTCTGCTTTTTCACAATGGTAATTTTTTCAGCTACCACAGGAAACTCATGGATTCAGAAGTACAAGGAGCCCCACCAAGGCCTACGATGATATCCATTGATGCTATCAGCAGGTCTGAATGCCAACATCTGCTTAAAGAGTGATTGCCTCGAGAGGTTCATTTGGTTGGTCTGTTTGCAAGTGATAACCTCATATTGTAATTTCTCCCCACTAAAGGGTCTAGAATAGGTTCAGTTGTAATCTATTTTATGTAGTTGTGACTGCCTTAAGAAACCTGGAAAGGGTTATTAAGAATGTGTATCTAAGCAAATGGATAACTTTTCCAGATCAACAGTCTGTGAACACCATTAGTAGCCATTGGAATGGTTCTCCAGGAAATGTGGGCTGTTAATAACTCCGCCCCGATGTTCCTATGTGAGCTGAACAATGAGATAATATATAACTTTGCAAGTAGCCCAAGTGCTCTGAATTGACAACCTGTTCAGAGAGATTGAGATGTTGTGCCGTCCTGTACCCAGAAAATACTACCAAAGGAACATTGGAAAATTATCAACTCTCCCTTGCTAATAGATTTATTTGTCACTCTTGTTGATAGACAAAAGAATGACAAAATGATAAGTCTCTGTACCTTTATTGGCTCAGAGAACGGCTCCTCGTCAGGCCACTAGAAGTACTAAGACAGCTCTTATGTGGCAAGGGAGAGAGAATCCTTCCATCAATAGCTATTAATTGACTTTCACTTTGTAGGAAAATATTATATTAAGTGCCTGGATATAGAAAGAAAAATACGTCCTTGGGATGTTTATGCTCCAGCTAGAGAGATAAGGCACAAGATTGAAAGGCTACTTAAAATATAAGGCAATGGAATACCTACCTTTGGGATAATATTCAGTCATTACAATGAATGAAGTGGATCTAGAAGTACTGAGAGCTAAGTGGGAAAAGGCCAGAAGCAGAGCAAGATACCATTTATGTAAAAATGAAAGTAAAGCATCTATGTGTGTATGAACATAAGCTTATAGGCAAATGCATAAAGGAGATAGGACAAGGACACACCCAAATTGAGACAAGTTCCTTCTGGGGATAAAAGTGAGATGGGGGAGGGCAGTGCAAGACACCGTTCATATTCTACTCCACATACTTCTGTATTGAATAAATCACTCAGAGCAAGAAAATATTTATGTATTTCTTATGTAAAAAAGGAAAAGGGTAAAAAATATAACAAAGCACGTACATGATAAACAGCAAAGGATGACCCCAAAGTTTAGTGTGGTGGTCTTGCAAACTCTGCAACTGCCCCCTATCCCTTCTCCTTGTCTTCAGAGCCCGGCTTTGCTCAGGAATGGGTGCATATGTCTCCAGAGACACCTGAAAAAAAACCAAAATAATGGAGGTTCCAACCCTCTTCAGTGATTCCTTGAGCATGATCATAGGATATAATCAGGGCCAGTGAGAATCAAAGGGTTGCCCAGAGGACCACTGGTTAAGCTTCTCTCTTCTTGAAGAGAGGAGCAAAAAAGATAAAACACTTCTTCCTTCTGCTAGGTACTGCAGTGTCTGGATGTGAGTACTGGCAGGTGGTGACCACCTTGTTCCTTAGGGAGCTACCCCAGGGACCAAGCCAAACACTGAGGATGCTGGCAGAAAGATGGAGAAACCTGAGTCCTTGAAAAAAATTATTGAGCCAATGAATCAACTGACCCAGATCTGCCCTGCCTCAGGACTTCTGCTCCAGTGAGATAACACATTTTTCTTTTTGTTGAGGTGGGGTTATCTATTGCAGCCCAATGCAACCTGATGGACATATCAGTCAACAGGAGTCCTGTCTGAGGCCTCAAGCTCCTTGGGCACATCTGAGGGGACCTTTGGGTCCTCAGCAAGATGCCTTCTGGGTACTAGAACGTACTCCCAAATGGAGAAGGGGTCATGAACTCTTTGGGTGGGAGGAGACTGGAAACTCATCCTGAGACAGGGACCCACACCCCTGGCATGTCAGTGGGTGAACAGGGCTGCAAGTGCGAGGTAGGAGGATATAAGACAAATAGCCCCACAATTGCCCCCTGGGGTGTTTGATACAAGTTCCTAACAGAGGCATGAGCTGCACTTGCAGGGCCATAAACCATCACACCAAAGGCTATTTGGAGGGATGTTTCCTTTTCTTGGAGCAGAAAGCCCTTCAGTGCTTCTGGGGGAGTGGGAAAGGAGGACATCAGCTGATTCCCGAGAGCGGGAGTGAGTGTGGGATTGGGGCAATGACTGCCCTGAGTAGGACTTCAGGCTTGCAGAGCCCAGGCCTGGCAGCAGTGAGGTAAATCAGTCTGGGCACTGAGGAAGAGGTGGGAAAGGCTGGGAGTCTGCCTGCTGCAGGTGTTCCCAGGATCACCCCCAACATTTCCCTGGAAGTGATGATCATTTTGACGGGTTTGTAGAGGGGTCTACCTGAATCAAACTCCAGCCCCCAAACTGCTATTGACTTAAAATGTTTTAGACGGGGGGGGGCACCTGGGTGGCTCAGTGAGTTAAGCCTCTGCCTTCAGGTCAGGTCATGATCTCAGGGTCCTGGGATCGAGTCCCGCATCGGGCTCTCTGCTCCGCAGGGAGCCTGCTTCCTCCTCTCTCTCTCTCTCTGCTTGCCTCTCTGCCCACTTGTGATCTCTCTCTGTCAAATAAATAAAATCTTTAAAAAAAATGTTTTAAACTGGGATAATTCCTTGCAGTGTGTTGGAGCTAGCCCCGGAAGCGAGGGCAGGGAAATGAAGTCTTACTTATTGTGGTTGCTTGAGAGAGAGAGGGAGGAGGGTGTGGAGAGACAAAGAAAGAGAGGGATGATTTCTAGTCCTAAACCTGGTCCTAAACACCCACCAGGGGGGTGGCTGGTTTTGACTTGGGCTCCGAACACCAGACCTTGCATGGAGGTATCTGTTTCTTTTCCTAGTCTCACCTCCAGTTTGAAATCAATCACCCTGCTCACTTCTTGGAGTGAAGTCAAGGAAGGCTTACTGTTAAATCATAAACTCTGAGGTTGGGGGAGTGTAGAAAAAAATCCCAGCCCCTTGCTTTCAAACTGCTCTGTGGAACTCTACAGTGACGTGACTGTGCCCCAGGGTCCCCACACACTCATCTCCAATCTCATTAAAACATTTTCCCACTCCCCACCCAGTAGGTTGGCTATCAAATATATATAATCATATATATAACAGAAAAAAAAGCAAGTGTTGGTGAGGATGTAGAGAAAGTAGAACCCTTGGGCATTGCTGGGGGGAATGGAAAATGGTACCATGTCTTTGGAAAATGGTATGGAGATTCCTCAAAAAATTAAACAAAAAATTACTATCATATAATCTAACAATTCCACTCCTAGAAGTATATCCCCAAAATTGAAGGCAAGGATTCAGACAGATATTCATATTCCCATGTTCACAGCAGCAGTATCTACAATAGCCAAATGGTAGAAACAATTCAAATATCCATTGATGAATGAATGGATAAACAAATGTGGATACACACACAATAGACTATCATTCAGTCTTTAAAAGGAATGAAGTTCTGATACATACCACAACGTGGAAGACCCTCAGAAACATTTTGTTACATGAACTAAGCCAGACACAAAAGGACAAACTGCATGATTCCATGATATAGAAGGCAATTAGAGGAGTCAAATTCATAGAGACAGAAAGTGGAATAGGGGCTGCCCGGGGCTGGGGAGGCAGGAATAGGGAGTTAGTGTTTAATGGGGATAGAGTTTCTGTTTGGTGTAATGGAAAAGTCCAGAAATGGATGGTGGTGATGGTAGCACAACGGTATGAATATATTCAATGTCACTGAATTCTACACTTAAAAACTGTTAAAATGATAAATTTTATGTTACATATATTTTACTGTAATTTTAAAAATTAAAAGAATTCTAATAATTGAAAAACTATAATAAAAACATCATTAAGTGGGGTGCCTGGGTGGCTCAGTTGGTTAAGTGTCTGCTTTCAGCTCAGGTCATGATCCCAGGGTCCTGGGATGGAGCCCCGCATCTCTACATCTCTGCTCAGCAGGGAGTCTGCTGCCCCTCTCTCTCTGCCTACTTGTGATCTCTCTCTCTCTCTCTCTGTGTCAAATAAAAAAAAAAACCTTTAAAAAAACAAAATAAGACATCATAAACATTCAGATACCCCAAAATATACTGTTTATACATCAGAGACCATTTGTGTGTTAATTTGGGCTTCTTTCTTGCTTTCTCTTTGTGCCCTCTCAGGAATCAAGCTTCTCCCAGCATTTCTCAGAGAGAGTTCACGTTTATTACAAATATGCCAGTGGTTACAAAGTTTGAATCTCCAGCACTAATCCTTTGAAAACTCAGATTTACTCTTCTCCACTCAGATAAAATTGTGGGAGCATAGCTGTGACCTGCTTTTGACCCTGCCACAGAGCTAGTTGTATAAAAATATCTGTAATGTGCACAATCATGTTATATTTGTCATTTATTTAAGTTTCTGGTGCATCATATATGACTTTTATATTTACAAATAAGAATACAAACTACCATCAGATATTGTCAGTGCTCTGTTGTGTTAGAGAAACTTCCCTCTCTCTCCTCTTTCAAGCATTGGACAGTTTAATCAAAGAGCATATTGACACAGCCATCTGGAACTTTCCCTTGATTTTCATATTCATCAAAACATACAAATGTTATCCATTTGAACTCATAAAATAAAATTTTGCTAATAAAATACTATGTTTGCTTTATTATTAGCACCACGCTCTAACCAACTGAGCTAACCGGCCGCCTTTATGTTTGCTTTAAATGTTGGGATTTCTATCAGATTTGAATTCCAAAAAGTTTTTGCTGAGAGAAGAAGTTTCAAAAGCACTGTATTTGCTCAAATCCCACTTGACTCAATTTGATAAACATTTATCAAAGCCCTTGTTCAATTGTTAGCTGAACACACAATAAGTTCATGGGGGATGAAAAGTAAGAGAGTTCACTTCACACTGACTGCAAGATAGAAATGTTTTTTACATTTTAAATGGCTGGGGAAAAAAAATCAAAAGAAGGGTAGTATTTTGTGACACTGAAAAATTATATGGAATTCAAATTTTAGTGTCCATAAATAAAGTTTTATGGGGACACAGTCACATTCATTCATTTTTGTATTGTCCTCACTGGTTTCATCCTACCACTGCAGAGTTGAGTAGTTGGGACAAAGACTATGCAGTCCCAAAGCCTAAAATATTTACTATCTGGTCCTTTACAGAAAGAGTTTGCCTACGCCTGGATTAGACAATGGCTATATATCAGGTGAAGCCTGAATATTGAGACCTGAGAAGCCCACCAAAAATCTTGATGTTGCCAGCATTGGTTAAGGGTAGGGAAGGGGAGGGATGTTACATCAAAGGCAGTAAATCTGGATCAGTGGTTCTCCAGCTTGGGCAAGACTAGCCTCCTCTGAGACATCCAGAAGCATGTGGACACAACTTCTGCTGTTCCAATAATGGGGATACCATGGATGCTATGAGGACAGGGACTTGGGATCTTAAATACCTGACAGTGTATGGGAAAGATCTGCACAGAATTGTTCTGCCCTAAACATCAATGACACGTCCACTGATCAACAGTGATCCAGATAGTCACTGTGACGGTTGATCTTATGTGTTGACTGAATTGGCCATGTGATTGGATATTTGGTCAAACATTATTCTTTGAACTTTGAGTAAAGCAGATTACCCTCCATAACATGGTGGGCCTCACCCAATCACTTGAAGGCCTTAATAGAACAAAAAGTTACCTCCCTGAGCAAAAAGGAATTTTACCCCGTAGATGGCCACTGGATTCAAATAGCAACTTCTCAGGAATTAAAATGTGGAAATCTGTTCCATCTGTTTCCATCTCCTCATCTCATTCTGTACTGAAAAAAAAAAACAAACAAACTATTTTTCTGGTCAGCTTTTCCTGCTACCAGGGAAGGACACATGCTGATGTTGATGCCATTGACCAGAGGGGCTTCTCCATTGCCTCCTGCCACTCAGTTCAGAGCTTTCCCAAGAGGGAGTTCATAGAGCACAGAGTCACGGGAGGACACATGATTCAATGCAAGAGATACAGACATCCAGAGAGCATTTCAGAGTCCTGGAGATGCTCTAACTATCACCATGAACTAAGTGGCTTAAAACAATAGAAACGTACTCTCTCACAACACTGGAGGCTGCAAGTCTGACATCAAGATGTTGATAGGATCATGTGCCTTCTAAAGGTTCTAGGAGAAGGCCCACTCTTGCCTCTTCTGGGGCTTCTGGGGCTCATCTATGATCCTTGGCACTC